AGCAACCGAGAAGCCACCAATGAAAGGGAAGCTCATTGGACTGAAGCGGGGGCGTTCCAAGTGGGAAGTAGTTGCTCGGAAACCCAGGGCTTTGAGGCCACTGTGCTCTGCTTTGTTTGCGTGTGTGCCAGGATTGCCGCGTGGTTGCCTGTTTGCTTGCTTACTTGCTTGGTTGATCGTTTGGCTGGTTTGGTTTGGTTTGGTTTGGTTTGGTTTGGTTTGGCTTGGCTTGGTTTGGTTTGGTTTGGTTTGGTTTGTTTGCTTGTTTGTTTTGTTTGTTTGTGTGTTTGCCTGTTTGATTGATAAGTTTGATTGGTTGATCGATTCACTGATTCATTGATTTCATTGGCTTCATTAATTGATGGGTGTGATTGATGTATTTATTTGATTTGATTTATGTAGTTGGTTTGATTGGTTTGATTGTTTCATTCATTCATTAATTCATTCATTCGTTCGTTCGTTCGTTCATTCATTCATTCATTCATTAATTCATTCATTCATTCATTCATCATTCATTCATTCATTCATTCATTCATTCATTCATTCATTCATTCATTCATTCATTCATTCATTCATTCATTCATTCATTCATTCATTCATTCATTCATTCATTCATTCATTCATTCATTCATTCATTCATTCATTTGTTCATTTGTTCATTTGTTCATTTGTTCATGCATTCATGCATTCATGCATTCATGTATTGATTCATTGCTTGTTTGCTTGCTTGCTTGCTTGCTTGCTTGCTTGCTTTCTTTTTGCTTTGCAAACACAACTAAGACGACTCAAGCACAAAATATGCAAAATAAACAAACAAACAAACAAACAAACACACTCACACACACACACAAAAAAACACCAACAAACAAATAAACACAACAAACAAACAAGCAAACAAACAAACAAACAACTTTGTGCTGCCTGCTTGTAGTATTGTGTTGTTTTGATTTGTTTGCTTTGTGCTTGCAGACGCAACCCAGCACCACCAAGTTGGGGTCAGGACGCTTTGTTGGACAGGAGCCAGGGTCTCCGTTTGGGGCCTCCTTGGCGTTGCGGCTTCGTATTTGGCGCCCGTCCCAAAGTCTTTTGGCCTACGACTTTTGCTCGTGCGCGTTTGTCGTTTGGGTTCCAGCGCCCCAGGTGCCGGTTACAACAAAGTGCTTTGACCTGAGGGTGCCCAGATTGTGTGTGGGGATGAGTCTCCAGCTCATGGTTTTGGGTGTGGGTTGAGCTCGCGCCGGTCCGCAGCCCCTGACGCTGGCTTCGGAAGAGCCCACTCCAAGACTTGGCGCCGGTTCCTGGCTGCCTCGATAGAAAGGAATGCCCATGCAAGCTTCAGTTGGTTTTGCGACCTGTGTGTGAGATGGATTCGGGTGAGCTTGCTTATAACGTTACAACTCTAGGGTGCAAGCTCCTTGAGGACATGGCAGCATTGTTGGGATGTCCTGGCTCGCAACTTTTGGCTAGGTGCACCTTGTCTAAGTTGGGGCTAGAGCAGGGTCCATGGTAAAATGGTGTCCTTGGATAGAGCAGGTGGGTTTCGAAGAATTCTCCCAAGGACTGTACTGTAGGATTTGTACCCGCAGGTGGGATCTCCAAGACCGCGACGCAGTGTCCGACGCTGAGAAGAGGCCACAGGGCACGCGAGCAGATGTTCAACGCGAATCGACCGGATCTGACCCCTTGGCTTGAAACCCCTTTTTGGACATGTGGCTGTGGCTCAAAAAGATGTACCAAAATGGCAATTTGGTAATTGGAGCCAAAGACTAAAACCTGCGTAGCCCTAGCTCTGTAGTTTTGAGCCACACCCATGTTTTTATCATGACCCCAATTGGCTGTGAAGGGTGTTGGGCTTGCAGATGGTGCTTGGGCTTTCTTTCGTGGCTTCAGCGTCCGGCCCGGGGTGGGTCAAGGCTGTAGGAGACCCGAAAACATGGTGCAGGGGAGCAACCATTGCAGGTGAGCAATGAGCAGGTGCAATTTCCAGATCCACACTCGCTTTGGCAGCTCTTGTGCTCAGATGAGTTGCCACGCCATGTTTGTCGCAACTGCTACCATTTGTCCAACAAATCATGAAGGTGGAGCCAGGGTTCGAATAAAGGCAAGTAGCCAATAGGTCTTCCGCAGCCTTGCTGTCAGCCTCCGTTTGTTGGGAGGCTAATTCTGTATCATTGGGGTATTGACATGTTCATTGCAGCACCGTGTCCTGCAACGCGTTGTCAGAGGGGAACTCGCAAGACGCTGAATGGCGCGCCCTTTTCTCAGGGCCCATGGTTGGTTGCGATGTTGGATTCCCAATCCCGGAGCAGAGCCGCATTGCTTTGGCAGGTCGCAAGGCCTGTAGAAAATGGGGTTGCACAAAGCGAGGGCGAGCGTCCCCAGGAAGCAAGAAGCTGCAGCCTTGGCTCAAAGCTGGCAAAGCAGAGCCTTTCCAAAATCCGCGGATTCCGCACACAGGCCTGATGCGAGCAAACTCACCGACTCAACAGCACGCAGCCACGCTCGACCAAGCGACACAAGCAACGTGGTTCGTGCTGATTGTCGTGGTCAAACTAGCGAACACTCGCCACCAGCAAAGCTGATGGGTTGCCCTTGCGACCCCAGCTCGTTCAAAGCTTGTCAGCTTGACCGAGATCATAAGGGTGAACATGAGGGACTGGAGCAGCTTTGTATTTGGTGGCTATCACTGAAATATCACTGAAATTGCTTTGCACTGCTTGGTTCACACTTTAAGTCGTCATGCATTTGCATGAATTCCCGGCATGTGTGCACGGTTGAACTACTGCATGTTATCATCTTCTCAACTCTTGGCTGAAGCAACATATAGCTCCATTGCCGGTAGAATGCGCATATGTATATATATATATATATTCATGTATCCTCTACAAACAGCCCACCAATTCTCTTTGGCTTGGACCTTTTTCCACAAAGTTTGCCGTTTGAGCATGCTTCGTGGATGCAAGCCTAACTGATGTGAACGTGCACGAATTAAACTATTCTTGTGTAGGCCATTAAGATGTTTTACATCCGGGTGCTAGCCGCCCAGCAACACATATCAAACATACATTCATACGTATGCCTGTGGGCCTACACCTATACCTGGGGCCTGAAACGACTAAAAATAAATGGTTGCTTTGTCTCACGGCCGTTCTTGACTCACTTCGCCCGAAACTGGCCGGACCAGGGTGGCTGACAGGAAAGCAGCAGAATCTGCATGGCAGGGATGTACTCACAGCCGGTAAAATGACTTGCAGCCCAGCCTAAGCAAGAATAGTAAGTCCATATGACAAATTAAGAGCACAACAAAAGAAGCGGGAAACCTCAGTTTGTCGCCATGTGTTTGCCAATATGGATGACGCGCATAGGTTCCTTCGGTGTGGGGACCAAAGATTCTTCGATGCTAAAACTGCGAACCGAAAATAATCATATTTGGTAAAAGGCCCATGCAAAGTGTCTTCTTCAATGCTCGCATGCAAAAGTCATGCCAACGTTGCACTGAAATAGTGAACCGCGGGGCTTGTACCCAAAATGAGCGAATTTACTGTTGTCCCAAAACCCGCGGCTTAGAAAACACGTACTTTGGGACACCACCAAAAAAAACAACAACACCGATTGCAGTCAGCTGTACTTAAGTAGGACAGTTTCGACTTTTGGATTCTGGATGTTGAAAGGGTCCCATGCATAAAATAAAAAAACTGCCCTTTTTCGACTGGTACAGATGCATACCTGAACGCTGCGTATTCGAAGAACGTATTTCGATCGAACCATCCTGGGTCTGTCGCATTAGAGCTCAGGTTGATTGGCCAATCACCGTTTTTGTTGGTCGAAATTGATTTTTGAAACAACTGTTCTTACCCGTGCAACGCCCATTCTTACCCGTGCAACGCCCATTCTTACCCATGCAAACGACCAGATTCAAAAAGCCGCGTTTTTTTCGGATCTCAAGTTGTGTTTGATCGGCATCGAATTCAATTTTGCCCGGTCGCTTTCGAAACGTAGCTTTCGAAAAAAGATTCGAAATCGGCTTTCAAAAAGGGCTTTCAAAAAGGGGGGGCTTTCGAAGGCGGGCGCTAAGAAGGTTTCGAAAGGCGGCTTTCGAAAGGGGGGTTTGAAAGTGCGAAATAGGCTTTCAAAGGGGTCTTTCAAATGGAGGCTTTTGAAAGAGGGGGTTTGAAAGCGGCTTTCGAAAGGTTGCTTTCGAAAAGGGGTTCCAAAGAGGATTTTTCGATGTTTCCGAAAAGGAGCTTTCGAACAATATGTTGCCTTCGAAGCATTATTCGAGAGCAGGCTGCGTATCAAATGGCAGAACTGATTGCGTGCGAGGAAAAAGGCCAAGAGAGCTTCACATCAAAGAGCTTTGAATTGGACAATTGTTGGATCAGTCGAACCCTGGTACGCTTTCGAAAGCTGGCATGCGCCATCGATCATGGGTTCCTAGACTTTTAAAACAACTGGACGCCGTAGGAAAGCTTTTGCGTTATTCTTTGAGCGTTCGCAGAAAAGGGGCTGCGGCTGAAATGCCGCACAAAATCTTGAAGCTTAATTCAGTCATCCGACTCTCCTGAAACGGCCGTGTTTGGAGCAAACGGCCGTTCTCACATGTCCCACCTCTGGACGACTATTTAGATTTGGTCTTTTGGGGTTCCAGGTACGCACATATAAACGTAGAACGCAGAATTGGCTTCATGTAAATACGAGCGTCTACCAAAGAAAAAAAAAAAACACCTCTACCCGATGTCCTTTGGCTATACAAGAGGTTTCGCAAGTTGCTCATATGGACCGTATGCCTAACAAATATACATATATGTAAACGACGTAAAATATTCATATATGTATATGAATGGCTTGACGGACGTATATTACATATATATATATATATGGGCCAAGAAGTTTTCCGCTAAACCCCCCAAAAGTTAACAACTTTTTGCGGGGGGGGGGTCGTTACCGCAACCAAGATAGCTTGGACATGGAGATGGTCCTTTCTCTGGCATTGGCGCGCCATGTCTTTGCGCGGCCTCCGGGCGGCTCTGCGGGAGAAGCGCTTGGCGCCGGAGCGGTTGCCAGCGCTGCTGCGCCAGGCGCCGCTGGAACCTCCGGCGGCGCTGATCGAGGCGAGGGCGCAGCTGGGGAATTTGTTAACCCCGGGTTAAGCAGAACCCCTGCTTGATCCTTAAAAGATACAGTTTGCAACCATTTGAAACATGGCGTCTTCCGCCAAAATAAAAGGGAAACTGCCATTTACAGGATGTGACAAAATCGTGCCTCCGTTTGGAGCATTTCTTAAATTGCATGGGGGAGAGGGTTTCGAGGAAGTCGTGCCTTTTTTCCAAAACGCATAAACACTCTTTATGTTTGAAGGATAGGCTTTTGGGATGAGCGGGTGTGCTTGCCATTTGGCTGGCGTGTGTAGCGGGTGCAATTGAGCGGGCGTGCTTGCCATTTGGCTGGCGTGTGCGCGCGGCTGAGCGGGCCAGCTTGAGCGGGCGTGCTTGCCATTTAGCTGGCGTGTGTGTGCAGGGCTAAGCGGGCGAGCTTGAGCGGCTGGCGAGGTGCGGAAGTGAGTCGAAAGTGGGCGTGTGGGCGCGGGTTCGGCACATGTGGGCCCACCTCTTCAACTGACAATGGGTGATCTCGCTTTGATCTCGTTTTTTGCCAGGGTGCATTGCCTGCTTTGCAGAGAAAGAACTCCGAGCTGAAGAAGCGAGCCGGCAAAGGCAACCCACTGCATCATTTCTTCCTAAACTCTCCCGCAACAAGTTGCCGTATCCCTAGCGTTCCAATGGTCTTCATGTTCCTGCAGACTCCTTGCGGACCTGAAAAACATGTCTTGCCATCAGCGTTCCATTGTGTTTCAGCGTTGACGCCTGTGTTTTTTGTAGCATGGTCAGCTCGGTGACGTCAAGCGTTCCATGGGGATTGTTGCCGAGGCGTGACTTAGGAGTGACTTCTTGGAATCAGCATTTACATGGGGGGACACATGGCCAGAGAGAATAAGGAGTGACTCAGGCATGACTTTGTCGTTGCCCGTACAAGGCAATGTTCAGGTGTATAGCGTAAGGATCCCTGACACCCCCTTTTTAGTGGGGATTCAGACCACTTTTGGAGGGAACACCCCCTAACAATGGGACGGTTTTATTAACCCTGAGTCAACATTCGTGGGTTGCTTCCATTGACCCTCCAATGAACATGCAACTTCAACCTGACAAGGGGATCCTGGAAGACCATTTGCCTAAAGGGACCCCCCCTGGCCAACATATCTCCTTCTGCAGCCCTTGGACCGCCAATAAAGGGCAATTTGCTCGGACCAAGGGCCGTCGTCCAAAGTCATATTTTTTTGCGATTTGCCGGTCCTGTTTGAACCAGGATTTCTGGCAACCCTTAATAGTTCGTGGTTTGGATTTGTCGCTAGTTGGTTTGGAGTGCTGGTTTGGGAATTCGAAGCGGAAGCAACCCTTCCAAACCAGGATGCCAAACCCACCAAGAGGGGAAGCTGACAGTATGGACATAATGGACAAAATCTATGATAATTCCCTTGTAGATACCAGGTTACCATGCAAAAAACAATGGTTTCAATCATGGTTTCAAGTTGGTGCAGGATTTCTTCCATCCACCGCATCTCCGTTTGCAACCCTGAGCCGCCGATTTCGCTGGAAGCAGCCGGTGCAGTAGGAAGTAACTCCACAGTCGACACCCGTTTGGTAGATAAAGAGTTGCAACTATCTCTTTTTGGTTTGTGATGGTTTTTTTTGCGAACCCGCTAAACGAAAAGTTGCTTCCATGTAACTCAAGCATTGATGAAGGGCCCCTGTTAATAGGTGCGGCCGCCTTGTAATTTACATGGATTTGGGTGGATGTTATATATATATATACATAGGTTTGAGTGGACGTTTTTGACACCGGGTTTTGCTGGCGGCTCCTGTGGCTTGAGATAATCTGGGGACCCGCAAAAGGGTGACCAGCAAAAGGGCGGTTTTCTCTTGGTTGCCCTGCAAAACAGCAACCTCAGAATGGGGACCCATCTTTTATGTTCCCCTCGGTTTTTGAGAAGGCAATCTACCACATTCTACCACTATTGAACTGTATGTGTATTTGTCCAGGGGGCTTAGTCAAAAGAAGGGTTGCATCCAGGGTTCTACTCATTTGCCCAAAGCGAATCAGCATTTTTTACCATTCGTTTTCCATAGTTTGGTCCATGAATCAAGATTTCCAGGGCTCCTTAAAAGATACATTTTGCACATTTGAAACATGTTTTTTCCACCGAAATAAAGGGAAACCACCATTTACAGGGCAATGTTCAGGTGAGTAAGGATCCTGGTTTCCAAATGGGGCAAACTTTTACTTCCAGATCCTTTGGGTAAGTGAGCATACCTTGTGTAAATGGGGGCAGTCTACTGGGCTTAGAACGGCGCCTCTTTTGAAGTTTTCTGAAGCCGTCTTGGCCAAAAATAGAATCACCTTTGTTGTGAGCCCCTTATTTTGAGACCGACCCAGGTTGCACCCATGATCATTCCTGCGGTAAATGTGGATTTGTGCCCTTCCCAGATAAAAATGGGATGAGTTCCCTCGAAAGCACTTTCCAAGTGCGTACACCAACCTTCTTGGGGTTGGGGTGCGGGGGAGGGCGAGGTGAGGCAGGGACCCTTCAAACTCTGAACAACAAGAAAGCTACTCATCATTGTGTTGGTAGTATCTTCTTTGTCTAGGTCCCCCAGTAGTGCCCTTTTACCCTTTTTTGGGGGAGAGTTCCCCTACTAAAATAGACTACAGAAAAAGGGTACCCTTATTTTAACCTCGCTACTGGAGGACCTAGTTGTTCAGGGTAGCTTGAAGGTCCCGGTGCATAAAAGGGATAGCGGCAGAACCGATTTAGTGAATGCATTTTCAGAGGCTCATCCTCAAACTTCCTTGGGTCCTGATGATTTTCCTATGAAACCACCCGTTGCAGCATAACTAATGTTGTGATTTCGGTGTGAGCGACTTTTTCGCCCCTATCAGGGCTAGCTAATAAGGGTTTGAGGGGGGCCCTGACGACCATTCCCGGCTTCAGGTTGGTCACTCTTACTGGGTACACGCATGTTGCTGGCCAGTCCTATGCACCTCCGAGGGGTTCGACGGCCCCATAACTCCATAACTCCTTTCGCGTCCCACTCCATTCGGGCGGGTAATTTGGAGGGTACCTCCTGTCGCACTCCCGCTCGAGTTCCTGGGCTTGAAGCGTTTTAAGACGACACTTCTGGATCCTTCTTTCCAACCATCAGAACAGGGGAGACAGCTGGTTCTTGAAAAGAACGATAGTTGAAAATAGTGGGGAATCAAGTGCGCACAAAGTTTGGGCTTTTTCTGGCCCATTCGCTCAGGAAGTGAGATATTCATGTTTGTACAGGACTCAAAGGGAAGCCACCCGGAGTCTCACAAACTGAGCGGCGAGGCCAGCCTGTGCGTCCATGAACTGAGCAAGGGCAGCTACTCCGTGAGCCGACCTTTGTGGGACGAGATCTCCCGAGACTGCGTGCCTTTGATGAGCCCCTCGAATTGCGGCGATTTCTCGGATCTCGCCGTCAAGGGGCTCCTGGCCCCCCTAGGTTTTTGGTCGGTGTGCTTAAAAAAGAGAGAGGGATTCCTGGTTTACATGGGGTTCGTTCTATTTAGCAGGGAAACCCAGCCATTTTTCCAAAAGGCCACCTATGCCTGGCCCGGATTGCACAACATCTGAGTGGCTCAATCGAACCCTTACCAGCCTGGGGAACCAAAAGCCGGTGGCATGGGTGTTGAAACCTGCTTGGCTCCACTTCTGGGGACGGCGGTGCCCATCAACACACAGCTCCAGAGGTCTCGAGAGGGGTCGCTTTTCGCATGGAGCATAAGATATACGGGCCTCTGAAGGTGAGCGTTTTGAGCAGCTCTCAAAGGATCTTTTGTTATTTCGTGCAGCAGGCTGGCTGTGCAAAAGAGAGCCCAATCAGAGTTTCCAGAGGAACTGCTAACAGTTTGTCAGACGGATGGTTCTTCAAGTGTGGGTGTGAGTGACTCTTAGCCCACAACCCCATTCCAATTGCTTACCTGTCGGCCCTCGTTGAAGCCTGAGACTTGGATCCTGTGTCATGCCAACATGTTGCAGGGACGTTTTCTCTTGCTGCGAGGGAAGCGGGGAATGAGGTTTTGGAATGAACCAGTTGCAGGATTCCCAAAAGGACACCAAATCGGATGGATGGCTTAAACCGGGGTTTTTTTCCAATGCTAATTTTTGCAGCTCTCGCACCAGAAAGTCTTGGATCTGTGTTTTGAGGGTGCCCTTTCTGGTGGCGGTTTAAAGGGAAGCCGGGAAGCCAACCGAAAGACAACTTGTTTTTGTTTGGGGGGGGTCGCCCCTATGTTGACTGTTGTCTATCTCCGGTTTGTGTTCTGGGACTTGTTTGTTTATGTGTCCCCCGTTGGCTTGGCATTAGCTGCCCAGAGGTCCGGACAGGTTCGCAAGAGAGTGGCAAGGATTTCCAGCGACCCTCGGGCCTTTGGGTGGCTCGAAGCATCTCTGGGTTGCCTTTCGGCATTTTTGGCTGCTTCAAGTGGACACACTGTGGATGAACCAAATCCATTTCGCACCACCTAAGAAACCCAACGTACATACCAACAAGCGTTGTGGTAGAAACCATGGTTTCATTTGGTGCTTGAACGGATTTCGCAACCATCACAAACTTAGAGCCCGGGGTGGAAGTTCGTTCCGAAGCAATCCGAGGCCGGGTCCCCGTTCAGAACCTCACCCTGCTGATCAACGCCCTCTCTGCACGGGCGCCAACCGCGATCCTCGGACCGATTCGCGGGAAGACCAGCGGCAACCATCGGATGCTTCGGGCTCCGTCCGGCGTAGGGGTGGGATGAGCCTCGCCATTGAAACAACTAGGTCCCCCAGCAATTGGTGCCCTTGGACCGTTTCTTTATTGGTTGGGAGGGTAAACCTGCCAAAATAGACGACAGAAAAAAGGGTACCCTTATTCTAACCTCTCGACTGGAGGACCTAGACCAAACAAAAATAACAATCAGCCTTCATCCACGGTGTTGAAATCGGAGGGTGGTTTGTGGGGCAACCGGCCAACCGGCTTTGGTGAGGCCTCAGATGCGAGTTCTTTGGCTTCATCATGGACGTTGAGTTCACTTCCCATTTTTGGAAACCGCTCTTCCTTCAGCTCCTTGTTTTTGTGCGCTAGGGCGTTCCCATGCCATTGCCGACCTGTTGCGTATCACTTCACCAGCCCTGCCAGCCAGCTTTCAACTTTTCGCAGGGCCTGCTCGGAAATACAGTCAATCCCCTTTTCAAGTGACAGCAAATGGAATGCCGCTGTGTTTGCCCCTGCAAAATGACATGGGCAAGACTTCAGGTTCCACCCCCGCATGTTAAAGACTTAATTATTTGGAACTTGCCTGAACCAAAATGAACCCTTGTATGTGTACTTATGTCGCAGTATGTGTGCGCACACACACAAAACTACACTACACTGCATTACATTACATTACATGACATGACATTACATTACATTACATTAGTGTCCTCGTAATATTTGTGTGTGCCTTTTCGTTGCCTTGCTGAGTCAAGACCCTTTTGGACGCAACGGCAGAGAGAGAGAGGGAGAGAGAGAACTATTCATGATGCGTTAGATGCATATATTCAATACACAGGTCTACAAACCGGTTTGGATGCGATTTTTTGTGGATTCATCTTGTTCTTCCCCATGTAGGTTCTTTTTTAGTGCTCCTTTGTATCCCAGAAAAAGGTCCACAGATCCGCCACATCCAAGCGGTTTTCTGGACCAGGGACCCCCCCTCCATTTCAACAACAATCCCCCCCCCCTTGGACCATCCATTCGAACAAGAATCCCCACCCCCCGGCATTTTTCTCCACGAGGACGTGGCTGCCGAGCTCGCTGCGGGCGCTGCAAGCCGCGCCGGTGGGCGCCTTCTCCGCCCAGGACCTTTGCCTCACCTTCGCCGCGCTGGCGCGGCTGTCGTTCGCGGAGGCCGGGAGGTGGGGGAGAGGCCGGGAGGTGGGGGCGGGTTGGGGTCAAGCCACCAGGATAAAACCCCTCAGGGTTTCAAAGAGCCATTTGTTTTGAAGGAGTTCTCCAAAAGTGGGGCTTGTTTTTATGGAAGCCACTGGTTGATGCCTATGTTGGCGTGTTTTGAGGCTTCCGGGGGCCGTTCTCACAGAAAAAACGGAAGCCGACCTTCACACCTCCAAACCAGAAGTTGAAATCTCCCATTGCAGAGAAGCTGGTTTTCACCACGGCGACAGTTCAAAGGAAGCCAACACCACACGATTTGGGCCAGTTGAGTTGCTAAATTTCATAAGGTGGGTGCTTTATTGCTGAGAAAAAAATAAAAAGAATTTTATTGTGTTGGGGGAGGTAGATGTAGATGGGTGGCTCCGAAATCCACACACATGGCAAATACTCTGCCGCAAGCCTGGCAAGGAACCAAAGTCCACGGGCATGCTGTTTTCACACGTGCAACATAAGGAAGTGTCCCTTATTGTTGAAACGGAAAAAACAAGCTTTTTTTGGTTAGAGGGAGGTCGATTTAGATGGGTGGCTCCGAAATCCACGCGCATGGGGCAAGAGGAGAAAAGTCCACGAGCATGCTGTTTTCACACGTGCAGCAAAAGGAAGGGTCTTTTACTTCCGAAAAGGAAGAACAAAGGGAAGTGGATGTAGACAGCCCAGCGCTGGCAGCCAGCCTTTTCCTTTCCGGGGCCGTACGTGCCTGCGATCGAGCTGCGCTGCTCCCCAATCGGAGCTCCGCAGGCGCAATTATTGTTGCAAACGAATCGGCCCAGGAGAGCCTTTCAGATTCCCATGAGTGCACTCCCTTGTTGCGGGCAAACAAAAAACAGCCGAGTTGGAGTTTTGAGGGTTTGGTTGGTCTGGGAGAAAAGTCTTTCCCGGCCTCAGAACTTTGAACACAGCACGCGCTCTATGGGGAACGCCTGCAAAAAAGAGTCTGGCTTAGTCAGACTCACTCTGATCAGCCGCAGCACCCTGCTTCACCATTTCAATCATGGTGGTTTGCCGGCGTGGCTGGTGGCCAACCTTCTCCGGCGTACCCAACTCCAGCGCCTAGCATGCGCCAAATCCAATCTCAAAATCCATTGCGACCTCAAATTTAGAATCGATGCTGACCGATGGTTTCAGGTTCAAGGGAAACCCAATCAATCCCAAAAATGACTCCCTCGAAACGCCCGCTCTATCGGATGCTATGACACTGCTATGAGTGTTTGAGTGTGTGTCTGTGTGTGAGCGCGCGAGCGCGGGGCGTGTGGGCGGCGGCGGCGGGCGGCCGCACAGGGGGCTAGGAAAGGATAAGGATCTATCGGATCTATCTCAGAATAGTAAAGGAAGAAACTCAAGTAGTTGATATTGAGGAAACGCAGGATGTGTCCTGGCAAAGGTTCTTGGCTGTGTACCGCAAGGCACGGACAGCAATAGCTCCTTTTTCACTACGCTGCGCAAGAAGGGCCTTGAGCCCAAAAAGCTCAATGATATACATGGTTGCAAGAAGATCAATGTGGAATCAAACAAGGGGCGGGCGGGTTGGTGGGGGCGGGCGCGTGAGTGAGTGGGTGTGTGAATGAATCGGCGGGGGCGTCAGTCGCAATGCCCGTTGCCCGCCTTCCGCTTGCCACGTCCGGACACATCTCCGCGCCCGCGGCCACGGCCGCCACGACCGCCACGGCTGGAGGAGGCCGGCGCGGATGTCCCCCGGGCAGCCTTCTTTGCAGACGGGTTGCCGTTGGCCTTGTCCTTTTTGTCCTTTTTGTCCTTCTTGTCCTTTTTGTCCTTTTTGTCCTTCTTAGTCGTGGCATCTGCCACTGACTTCTCCTTGTCTTTTTTATTCTTCTTGTCTTTGCGCTTCTTGTCCTTCTCGTCGTCCTTGATGTCCTTCTTGTCGTCCTTCTTGTCCTTCTCGTCGTCCTTCTTGTCCTTCTCGTCGTCCTTCGTGTCCTTCTCGTCGTCCTTCTTGTCCTTCTCATCGCCCTTCTTGTCCTTCTCGTCGTCCTTCTTGTCCTTCTCGTCGTCCTTCTTGTCCTTCTCGTCGTCCTTCTTGTCCTTCTCGTCGTCCTTCTTGTCCTTCGTGTCAACTTCGTTGTCCTTCGTGTCAACTTCGTTGTCCTTTTGGTCCTGGTTGCCCAGGTAGTCCTGTTGTGTGGCCTCGGGGTCGGTATGGCCGCTGAGCTCGAAGATCGGAGTACGCAGCTTAGCATCAGCTTCTGCTTGTGCCCCTGCCTCTTCGGCAAGTTGGCCCAACGAGCTTAACTCTTGTGTCTTTGGCGCATCACTGTCGCCTTTGAAAGTCTCAAGGGGCTCAAGCACGCGTTCTGGCACTGGCTCTGGCAGTGGGGCTGATGGGCGGGAATCTTCTGTCAGCAAACGGTCAGGTGTCTGGCGATGCGGGCTGGGCGGGCTGCTGGTGGGAATGGGAGTAGTCGGATGCGGCGGTTCTGCCGTCTCCGGCTCCCCTGTCACATCTTCTTTGGCCTGGCAAGGGCCAGTTACGGCCTTTCTTATTTTCAAATTACAACATTGCGGCATTTGCTGCAATCAGTCCAACAGCCTACGCTCTTTTGTCTACCCAGCGCCTCGTCTGTCTTCTGCATATCGGCGCAGTCCAACGTCTTGATGAACTCACCCGCTGCCTCAAGAAATGGGGTGCCGGGGTAAGACTCAAGCAGGAAGCGCTGTGCAGGAAGTTGGTCGGCAGTGATAAGCATCGATGCCACCCTGAGAGCAGTGTTGTTGGATGCGATTGCCTTCTCCACTACGATGCAGCCGAAAGGTATATACATCAGGTCTCCAGCAACAACATAGGCGGTCTTGAGGGTGGAGATGTCCTCTGCCACACGCTCATCAATGCTTTCCAGGAAGTGCACTGCATCCTTGGCCAAGGCGCTGAGAAACATAAAGCTGGGCTGTGAAGCTAGAAAAGCCAAAAACACAACTTCACAACTCACAACATGACCAGCTCATGAGCGAGCGTCCTTCAAAGACCCCTGCACCTGCGTCTCACCCTCTGCCGGCTGCTTGGCACTTGCAAGCTCGCTAGCTTCTGCTGCATCCATGGTCGCCATCAGCTTGCCACCATTCATCTGGAAAATGAAGTGGCCGGCGCCATTCGGCAAAATGCCGCCGAACAAAGCCCCGCGCGCCTGACCGCACCAAGTCACGCCAGTGATCTTCAAGGCCTCCTTGCTCTGGACAGCGTCCCCACCACTTGTCCGCTCTGCGACCCTCAGCAACGCGACCAGTGCGTTGTTGGGGATACACGAACCCCAAATTAGACCAACAACGCTACACATGCAGGGACGAAGCTGAATAGAAACAAGCTTTCTCGTATCAAAACTAAGGCTCGAGTGCCCCGAGTTGCCCCGAATACTGGCTTTGCTTACACATGTTTGGAGCGCTGCTGGCTTCCTCTTGTTAAACAAATCAACGCAGAGACAGCTGAATGAAAGGAAGCCAGGAATCAGGCTGGCAACGCGCCCGCGATCCATCACAGAAGCCTTGATGTCAAAGGGAGCTTCGGGAACCGTCTCCGAGTGCGTCCGCCGCTCCAGCTCCAGCTGCGTCAACGCGTCCAAAGCCAGCAAGGTAGCAGGCCCCTCAGTAGTGAGGGCAACTCGGTCGCGGGGATCTGCACTCTCAAGTCGGGCTTGGAATTGCGTCGCAAAATTGCCACATTCAGTGGCCAAATGCTTCGCAAAGTTGTTGACCGATTCCTTTGGGGTAGACGGGGTCTCCTTGGCGCAACTCAACTTTGGTGAAACCCAACTTCATCAACCCTCAAGCTCTCAACCTAGCGGGCAAAACCTTCAAAGTGAACAATGTGAACACACCCCAAGCACTGACAAAGCTCAGCCAACACCTTCTTCAGAGCGCCCTTCTTCAAGCGAGCAAGGCAGGGTGTAGTAGGATCTGCTGCAACGTCTATGAGAAAGGTGGTCAAATCTGTGTAGACCGGGGTGACATTGGCGGGGGGGAGCTTGTTGATGCATTGGATGATGGTCGGGTCGTCTGCGTCAATCTCACCATGCCCCCCCGTGCGTCTGTGGCGGGTTTTGCCGTCATCCTTCCTGTTGCCCTCCGGGGCCTCCTGGTCCTGAAGCGCTGCTGCCTCTGCGCGCGCCTTGTCCTCCGCGAGCTTTGCCGCTTTCGCCGCCTTTGCAGCTGCGCGTGCTTCTTCCTTAGCTGCAAGGGCTTTTTCCTTCTTCTCCAGCCGCTCCATTGCTTTTGCCTCCTCCTTTCGCGCCTATCAAGGGCGACATCAGAATGGACACTTAAAGGCGAGGGCCAGCGCGTGACCGCAACACGAACCAAGCCTCAGCTAAGTTGAACAGATGTTTCCTAAAATGCCCGAAGCCCTTTCTAAAATACCGAGCAAGACAATGTTTTGAGGCAGGGCAATGACAAAACGATTTTGGGCTACTGCGCTCTCAGGCGTGTTGATTTGGTTCCTGAACAAAATCTCACGGTTGCTTTAGTGCAAACGAGACCACTGCAGAGATACAATGCTTCGTTGGGCCTTGGGGGATTACATTTCTAGGCAAAGCAGCGTTGGACAAGAGCCTTTGCCAGCGCAGCGAGATTGGACTTCCAGCTGTCGCACTCAGAGAGATCACTGCATTCGTGTGTTTCTCCGCGAGCTCCGTGACGGCAGCCACTGTTGGCTGCATCTCAAGCTTGCAATCTCGGCTTTCTTGCACACTGCCGATTGTCTGACATATGCTCTCTGTGAGGAAGGACTGCCGGAGGTCCCGCAAATACGGGTCTTCGATGGCAGCAGCATACAGAGCAGCTGACGCCACCTTTCCTTCGTCACCCGTTGCAGAGTTTCTTGCCAGCCTGACAAGCTCCTGACGGCTGCGGAGCAAGCCCAAGGACGGGTCAGCACGGAGGGCGTCCTCGTTGCCGTCATGGCTCTGCAAAGCGTCCTCAGTCATCACCTTGTGCGCAGTGTAAGATGCCTT